CAGCCAACGTGATCAGAGCGAGACCGTCTGTTTCCTGGACCAAACATCAGTTATTAAAGTCTGTGATCAATAAAAACCTCAAAAACCAGCCAGAGCACTGAAGTATCAACCATCAATCAATAATCAATAATCAATAGAAGCCTGTCGTAGAGCTCTGTGGGGATGTCTGCTGGTTTTAACATATTGATCAGTTAAAACGACGTCTTTGTGTTTTTGAAACTTGAGTGTTTTCTATGAGATAACGAGTCGTAAATCAGATCTGAACGTTCAGCTCGTTAAGAGAAGCCAGTGTTGAGTCTTTTGGGTCTCATCGGCGTCGGCTGGAGGCTTCTGTCCTCTTGGCTGCGACGGCGCTCCGATAAATCAGCAGCCGTAACCTTTACAGTGAAATGTGAGAGCGCAGCCTTTTCTCCGGTTCTCCGTGATTTAGGTCCTCGTCTCTGAGAACGTCGGGACCTTTTCCGTCCGGTCGGTTCCCACCGTGAGAACAAGACCTTTTCCAGGTGAGTCCTTCTGTTCGCGCTCAGCGCTTTGTCTTCGGACTCCACGGAGGAAACCGAGGCAACGACAAGCGCTGGATCTGTGCTAGCGTAAATAACCGGCTCTGGTGTGAAGCCATAAAGTGTCAGAGAACACAGAAGAAGACACGAAGAAACAAAACAGGTCTTCAAATGTGAGGCTTTAAAGGAAACGCTCGGCTAAAGACGAGACGAGAAGATTAAACGATGAGAAATATGACGGGACGAGCTAAACGATACGATGGGACGAGATAAAACGAGATCAAAGTGACGCGACAGGACGAGATACAACTAATCAGCTGATAACAATCAATCACAAACAGCATCTATCAACGTATTACTTTATGGTTCCAGCTAGTGATGCACGACATATCAGCAAGCACATCGGTATCGGCCGATATCAGCGTTTTTTCCGACATATCGTATCGGTCCGATGAACACATGCAGCCGAAGACTGTCTAACATCAGCGTCTCTACGTTTGATATCGCTGCTAATTCACAGATGCTTTCACTTAAATGGTCCTTTAACGTTAAATATGTTTAAACATGTTTTACTTTAGTCATAAAGAACACCATGTGGTCTAACTGGGCTTCTTCTGAATAGTTTCTCACGGTGCTACTTAAACTCATTTCTCTGCGTAAACAAAAATTGATTATCGACATCGGTGATATCGGTTATCAGCGATATCAGAAGTCTTAATATCGGTATCGGCCAGAAACGTGAATATCGTTCATCGCTAGTTCCAACTGAAGAGGAAACAACCAGCAGCTGTTGATGTAAACAGACAATCAAGCAGCGGCCCAATCAACACCGATGTTATGAAACGCAGAAGAAGCCGTGCTCTGATTGGACGGCAGCGTCAACCATGTGACCGCGCTGAGTTCAGGTGCATCGGAATGCGAGAAGCTGTGCGTGACCCTGAACGCACCACAGCAACAACCAGCAGCTTCACTCCTGAACTCCGTCAGCTGAGGCTCGTCAATGATCAGCTGGCCGACGCCTTAACGAGAAAACTCGTTAACCTGTCGTTCTAACGGCCTTCCTGCCTGGACTTTACTGTCCAGTCATTTGTTTATAAACCACCTGAACTGTTACGACACAAATAAAGTTTATTAGAAAACGAAAACACTTTGTGTCGTCATTGTTCATGTTTACGATGTGACACCGGTTTGGTCCAAGTGTTCGGTTCCTCAGATCCAATCGGAGCAACGCCGGTTCTGATCCGATTATCGATGATCAAAGTGTTTCTGAACCTCAGTCTGTTCATTTCTCCGTCACACAGGTGTGTAGAGGAGGAACGTGATCGGTAGCAAGATGCTAATGAAGCTAACTTACAATCATTTCCTGATCAGTAATTGGCAGCATTATCAATCAATCATCAATTAGTGGGTAACTCTGCTGTGTTTGGGTTGTAGTCAACAGTTAGTCTGAAACACCTGAGCTCTGGTTGGAGGTCCTGAACCTCCTCAGAGTCTCTGTCATGGTCCTGTTGCTGCTAAACTCCCACAATGCTCTCTGCTGCCACCATGAGCTGTAGTCTGTTGATGCCTCCTCTGGTCGCCACCTGGTGGAACAACCAGGTACTGCAGCTGGTCTACGATGCGTTTACTGACATCGCAGGTTTCTGACCTCTAACTCTACCAGAGTTTCACAACAAGGTTCCACCTACAGAACATCAAGGAACAACGAGAAGAACTCATCAGCCGTCAAGAACATCCAGCGGATCGATTTTAAGAACTTTGATGAACTTAAAGTTTGTCTTATCAGGGAAATGGAATCAGACCGGGACGAGTTCAACCCGACCAGGACACCTCTGGTAGGTAGAACATCACCGGGCCATAACATCATCAGTTCTACCAAACAGCGTCATCACCTGAGATCTTTCCATCAGACCTGGGTTTAGTTTGGTTCTGACACTAACGAGCTGGCTACGGTGGTTTGGGTTAAACTCCTCCCTCATGTTTCCATGGTGACGACTCTGCCATAAATCCTTCATTCACTTATTCACAAGAAGTTCTATCGAGGTTTGTGTTCATCCCAGAGAACATAGGAGGAACCGGGTCGGCCCAGAACCAGGACCCGGCTGCACCACGCCGTGTTGTCACAGTTAACGCTGTAAATGTGAGACACGTTCAGCTTCTCACCGTTTGTTTATTAGTAAACATCAGGCGCCGTAACACAACCTGACTACACACAGACACACAACCTGACTACACACAGACACACAATCTGACTACACACAGGCACACAACCTGACTACACACAGGCACACAACCTGACTACACACTGGGAGCCAATCAGCCCAACCTGCTGCTGAAGCCCCGCCCCCTTCCATTCAGCTCTAGGCCTCATGGGAAATGGAGTCCGGACGTGTGTGTGTGTGGTTCCTCACCTCCTCCGTTCTTGTAGCACAGGTAGGGGAACCTCCACACGTTCCCGAGTCCGACTGCGAAGCCCACGCAGGACATGATGAAGTCCATCTGCCGGGTCCATGTTTCCCGCTCCTGGTATCCAGGCCCCGCCCCCGTGGCCACGCCCCCTTTCTTGTCCGGTCCGGCAGCACCGACCACCACGCCTCCGGACCCCGACGCCAGGCCGCCGTTAGCGGCCGCAGGAGGGTAGCCGCCGCCGCCGCCGCCGCCGCCGCCGCCGTTGGACAGCAGGAGGGGGCTCTTCTTGGTCTCCTCCAGGAGAACCAGCGAGCAGGACGACGCCGGCAGGGCCTGCTTCTCCATCAGGAACCCGTCCAGAACCAGGCACCAGGGAAGAACCGGTCAGGCACAAATCTGGAACCAGCAGGAACCAGTGAAGAACCAGGAACCAGTCGGTCTAACAGGGTCCCAAGTTCTCCGTCTGTCTAAATTCCCTCAAAGTCCTTCAAGTTTGTGTCTTGTTTATGTTTCAGAACCAGTCAGAACCCGTCCAGAACCAGGAACCAGGGCAGAACCAGTCAGCTACAAGTCTGGAACCAGCCGGTCTGACAGGGTCCCCAGTTCTCTGTCTGCCTAAATTCCCTCAAAGTCCTTCAAGTTTGTGTTCAGAACCAGTCAGAACCCAGTTCACAACCAGTAACGGACCGGTCCAGTCGGTCAGTATCTAAAGTTCAGCTTCAGTCCCTGTAAACCTGACTCCTGCTCTGGTTCGGTCCTCCAGGTCTCACCTTGTGTTCTCAGAACCAGTCGGAGCGGCAGGTTCGGCTCGGTTCTCTAATCTCAGTCCACTTGGTTCCACTCGAATGAATTCAGATCGGAAAAGGCAGAAAACACAAACCAGTCTTAGGAGGAATCTGGAGACATTTCTTCTCCAAACCGGGAAAAAATTCTAAAAACAAAAACCGAGAAAATAAAAAAACAGAAAAAAGGAGAAGCACCGGAACCGGACCGCGACCTTCAAAAACAATCCACGAAACACTTGAATGTGAGTCTGAAGAATCGCATGGAGTCACGGAGGAGACGGAGGCCTGCTGGGCGGCGGAGCGGACCGGGCACCGATTCTCACCGTTATTATTCCGCTAAGTGAAGCAGCGGAGCGTCAGTCCCGGCGGCGGGCGGCGGGCGGCCGGTGCGGCGGGCGGCGGAGGAGGCGCTGCTGCAGCTCCATCCAGGAGGAGAGAAGAGAGGAGCGGAGGGAGCCGAGTCCCGGTGTCGAGCTGTCAGGTCCGGTGCTGCGGGGCTTTAACGGGCTGCTGCGGGCCGTCGGTGCGTCGCGCGGTCTGTCCGTCCGGCGGCCGGCGGCGGCTTTAAAAGGAGACGCGGCAGCCCGGAGTGACGTCACACGCACGGCCACGCCCCCTCACCTTCACCACCCCCCGTATACCTCTGTCTCTGACGTCATGGGGTCCCCCCCAAGTACGCACGCGCACAGAGGCATCGATAGCGGCTCCGGTCCGCGAGTGGCGGTCAGTATGGAGGACCAGTGGTGCCAAGATTTAAACCAATCAGCTTCATTCTAATGAGCTCCGGTAACAGACTGACTCTATGTTTCACTCTGTTAACCAATAAAACCGCTGGGTCACGAAGACGCAACGACGTCAGCAAACTAATTCATTTAATTAGAGAATAAAAATAAGGATGTGAGCATGGTTAACGGGACACAAACAAACCTGCACCAACAAACTGCTGAGTTCTGGTTTAAAGACAACATGGACCTGGACTCTGTAAAGTGTTAGAAAAGTGTTGTGGTTGTTTATTTTAATTGTGTTATTAACAATCTGACGAGTTTTGGTTTGAGAAAACAAAACTCCTTTAATAAAACCCAATGAATTCTGGTTCTGTCTGCGGTTCTGTCAGGTAGCCGACACTCACCTGTTACAGCGTCAGTCAGGTGACAACCTGAGAACAGGGCAGTGGTTAGGGAGGGATCTGACTAACACCTGGAAGTGACTGAAGTGTCCATATACACAACCAAGGGGTGATTTAGGGTCCCAGGTAACACCTGGAGCTGCGTGGTGGGTCCTGACTAATACCTGGAGCTGCATGGTGGT